GCACCTCGGCATCAGCTTTGTGATAGAGAACCCGTACTCCTCTCGAATCTGGCTGACTGAGCAGATGCGCTCTTTAGTTGCGGCTGGGGCATCCTTTCGCAGAACTGACTTTTGTGGATTCAAAACACCCTGGCGCAAAGCTACTGGATTTATGTTCTGGCAATTTCCTGAGCTGGCTACCATTTTCAAGACTTGTTTGACCCAAAATGGACGCTGTAGCTTCTCTGGACGTAGACATATCATCCTTAGTGGCATAGATAGTCAAGGTGTCTGGTTAACCAGACGTGCACAACCATATCCGAAGGATATGTCTGATGCCATTGCCCAGCAGCTTTTTAACCATTTTTCTTCTTAAGCGCACTTCTTGCAAGTGGATATGGGTGGATGGGGGTCTTCGTCGTTTTGATTTCATCTAACTTTGAAGATCCCGGCCAGCAACATTGAGAAGATCTCATGTGCTGACTTCATCCTTCTTTTGAACTTCAGAGGCTTGTCAAAGCCGCTTGCAAAACAAGAGCCCTGGCTGATGCGACAATCCCATCATGGGCAGTGCAAGCACGAGAATGATTGGTTTTTTAGCTGATTAGCCGCTGGCATTGTTCTCAAGATCTCCACCACCATCCCCTCCACCTTCCTGATCTCGCATTCTGCGGGGGTGGATGGGGGTCTTCGTCGTTTTGATTTCATCTAACTTTGAAGATCCCGGCCAGCAACATTGAGAAGATCTCATGTGCTGACTTCATCCTTCTTTTGAACTTCAGAGGCTTGTCAAAGCCGCTTGCAAAACAAGAGCCCTGGCTGATGCGACAATCCCATCATGTGTATATATGTGTATATATGTGTATATATGTGTATATATGTGTATAGATGTGTATAGATGTGTATAAGTGTGTATATATGGGTATATATGTGTATAGATGTGTATAGATGTGTATAGATGTGTATATATGTGTATATATGTGTATATATGTGTATATATATATATATGTATATATGTGTATATATGTGTATATATGTGTATATATATGTGTATATATGTGTATATATGTGTATATATGTGTATATATGTGTATATATGCGTATATATGAGTATATAGGAGTATATATGAGTATATATGAGTATATATGAGTATATATGAGTATATATGAGTATATATGAGTATATATGAGTATATGTGTATGTATATATATATATATGTATATGGGTATATATATATATATTGGCATATACATGTATATGTTATATATATATAAATACACATGTTTGTATGCGTATGTACAGTCATATGTGCATATGTATACATATATATATATAGACATATATATGTATATATATATATATGTATGTATGTATGTATGTCTGTATGTCTGTATGTCTGGATGGATGGATGGATGTCATGTCATGTCATGTCATGTTATGTCATGTTATGTATGTACGTCCGTATGTGTATGTATATGCCAATTGCAAAAAAAAACGTAGGTCGTATCCCAACCTAACCTAATTTTGAGTCATATCATTAACATCAGTTTCCCAAAATTTGTTGATCATACGTCATAAGTAGCAGTAGCATAAGTAAATGACTTGTAAACAAAAAATTCCCCAATTCTTCAAGTTTCGTTGATGTATTACTCATAAGTCCCTATTGTTTGGGCTTGGTAAAATAATGGCATTTCTATCAGTAAAATTCCCTGGTTCAACTGGGTCCCAGGTCTGCGGCAGCTGTGGCAGCTGGCCTGGTTCCCTTGGCCCTGGCACCAGAAGCCAGCGTGTGGACCTCATTCCACCAGGGTGGGGTATGAGGTCTCGGTCTATGGGATGAAACATCTGAACGTGAACATTCTGACACTGACATCGATGTCTCCGGCATAGGAATTTGCTCCAAATCAGGTGGCCCAAGGATGGGAAATGGCCGTCATCGGCCCCTTGGGCTTGATCAACACAGGCCATCTGTGATGATTCCGTGTCGTCGTAGTTTTGCTCGCCAAGCGGCCAGGCCTAAACCTCTTCAAGACTGCCTTGGGCATCTATGCTTTGATGAGTTTCTTTGCATAAATCAATGAGACAAAGCTACAAAGCTATCATTTGGGGAGGATTTTAGCCACCCATTTATGGTCATATTGGGGATGGTTCATCAGTAGGTTTACCACATCACTGAATATACCGCTTTCGATTTGTGTTTTATTGATTGAAGAGTGTGGCAGCAACGAACAAGTTGCTGATTTGCCCAGTTTTCCTTTGTCTTTCAAATTCAATTGGTGTTGTGCATCAGTTCGATTGGCACGGAACCACCTCAGTAATTCTCAGCAGTGGGCTGCATGTTTTCAGGTTGGTTGTATGCCTTCGGCATCATTGACTTCCGAAATGATCCTCAGATGCAGTCCACAGCTCCCACAGCAGAACCCGTTGTGACTCTGCTCACCCATGTTGCGAAGTGTCGTGCATTGGCGAAAACATCATGGCGCCCAGGAGATTGTCCAGAAGGTTCAAGGAGTGTTGTCATCCATCATTGATCCTGTCTTGTCTCCACTCCGGAGCATCATTCCACCGAATCTTGGCTGGGAGGGAGAGAGATGGGCATGTCATGGCATGTCTCCAATTGGGTATTTCAAGATCTCATGAGAATCTCATGTCTCATTTTCCGATGTGTTTCCCCGCAATTTTGGGAACCCCAGGCACCCATCATTTCGTTACGGCGTTACGGGACAGATGATGGCTGATTTGTCGAGGCTGGGGGGGTTCGACATCTCCTTCATGGTTCTGTGGTGCTGCTCTTAGAGGTGGATGTACTGTGATTTCTGGATCCCTTTTTGGCAGAGGTAGAAAAAATATGAAAAAAATAGATTAAGATAGGCCTCTGGTTCATGATTGACCATGATTTGGATGTTCAGATGCAGATGGATCTATGATCTTTCTGAAGCAGAGACTAATTATGAATTCTACCCTGCAGTCTCTGTCGCTTCTAAGGTTCGTTATTGAGCAAGCCCAGGCTGCAGCTGTGACCATCATGTTCGGCCGCTTGACAAGCCACAACCAGAAGTTTCATCGGGATCAATCACCATCAGATCATCAATCAGATCAGATCACCATCACCATCACTATCATAACATATCATAACATATCATAACATATCATAACATATCATAACATATCACAACATATCATAACATATCATAACATATCACAACATATCATAATATATCATAACATATCATAACATATCATAACATATCATAACATATCATAACATATCATAACATATCATAACATATCATAACATATCATAACATATCATAACATAGCATAACTATCACTATACGTATCATTATCGTCATCGTCATCGTCATCGTCATCGTCATCCTCATCATCATCATCATCATCATCATCATCATCATCATCATCATCATTCCTATCATCATTTTGATCCTGGTCGTCCTCATCCTGATCTGTATCCAATGGCTTTACTCCACAACCAGTGTTTTGCTGAACACCAAGGAGCTGCAACCTATGGCAACTACTACTACTGAGATACCTGCCGAGCAATTTTCCATGGCCAACTGGCAAGATGCCTCAGCAAAGTCTCGGTAGCACAGCCGGTGCCTGGTGTGCAGCCTGCGCAAGCGCAGAATTTGTACAGATTGTCCGGCAGTTTTGGCCTTGCTAAACTGCCAAACATTGAAACTGCAGGGTATCCATCCTACAATATCCTAAATGAATCTCATGAAATGTGTGAAAGGCCAAGACTTTCAGTGAAATGGTCATGAAGTGATGAATCTTCGACGCTAAGCACGTTTTTCCTTGGCGTCCCGGATCACGAGAACACGAGAACCACATCACCGCATCGGCCATTCGTGGTCGCAAAAGGAGCCGCCTCAGCATGTAATCACTATATATCATAACCAGCATTAATTTCATGCATTTCATTTTTTTGTTTCAGCACACACATATATATACATACATGTATGTACATATATTATGGTGACAGTTGGTCATGGTTGGCGACAGTGTGCTGGCTCAGAACATCAACCAGAGCAATCATAACCAGCAAGTGGAGAGAGTTTTTTTTTCCCCTGCAACGCAACATATTGGAGTATCATGGAATATATTATAGGGCTCCTTCAACATACCGAAGGAATAGAACCGATGATTTTTCTGGTGAGTTTCTTTTCCATTTTATTGAGGATCATCAGATACTTTGCTGAGTTTGAGTGCCATTGCACGCATCGTGTCATGGAACCCGACTTCATTGAGCTTTTGGATGACAATCACATATGGCTCGGACTCGGCTCGGAACCAAGCAGCCAAATTCCATTCTGGGTGAACTTTGGTTGAGGATAGGGTACTACGGTACGAATACTTTTGGATCAACTCCACACTGATGACAGAATTCGTAGTTTTACTTTGTTTGGACGTAGCTGAAGAGCTGTGATGCTAGGTTGGCGTCTTTGCTTGGAAGGTGCAACACTTTTGTTGAATCCATTGCGATTTTATCGAGATGGTGTGCAACAGGATTCGTGTAGCTTCACAATGGCACCTGCATAAGCTGTCACACCAAGTCGTCTGGTACATGTCAGGACTGCATCCAGACATGCAACGTGCGGAAGCTCGGACCCCAGGCCCAGTGCCAACTGAGACAGCGAGCTCTTGAGAACTCTGTGAGGACTCTGTCGGAGTTGCACTGATTTGGCATTGCATTTGAATCATTTGAGACCTTGTAGCCACTTGTAGCCTTGTAGCTTCGCTCTGCTCAAGCCAGAGGGAGAGCCAAATTCATCCGCTTCCCATGCAATCCTCAACTTTGCATGTGAAGTTTAGTCCTGTGGTCACTGCTCGTGTGTACGAGCAAGAATGTAAAACTATCTCTCAACCATCCAGCAAAAGGAAGTGAACCCGATGTCACCAGAGAGCACCAGAGACATCAAGAGACTCAACAGACCCCAGTCTCCCCAACCCGATAGCATCGGATAGCCGTCAATAGCCCCTTTGACACCAGTATTTCGCAATGCCTTGGCCGCAACGAAGATTCCGGCACGCTGCAGAACAACTGCAAGATGAGGACGTGCGAGGTGTGGTGCAGTAAACGAGGCTAGTTTTGGAAAGTGAGTTTGGGTCAGCAACCCGCAACCCAGTTGATCCAGTCAAGTTGATGCTGAGTTGATTTTCCACGATTTTCCGCATTGACAAAATCATTTAATTAACATCATTCAACCCAATACCCGATGCTCCTGTCTTGTCATTTCAGGTCTTCCAGAGGATCAGGACTTTGAGGAGGCCAGAATTCTTCCAAGTTGCATAGCACGCAACAGTTGGGGCCGATGGGCTTGCGACAGGTCGATCTTTCTAGAAACAGCTTCAGCATCTATGGCTTCTTGAGTATTACGAAGTTCTGCCGAGCACAATCGCAACTGCGCATCCTGAAGCTCTTCAAATGCGAGCTTTGGCAATTCGAAGAGAAGTGACGGTTTTTCAAGGCAATCTTACATTTGGTTGCCGCTGATAGCCATTGTTTATGTATCACATTTGGTGTTTTTCGGCACAAAAAAGTCTACGATGATGATCGAGGGAGTCTATGTGGGTGGGCATCAACTATGCCCTGGGATTTTTGAAATGTTCAAGACTTTCAATATTCTGTGTGCATCTTTGTGCAATGTATATTTTGTGAGTGGGGCATTCCTATCAACCATTTTTGAACAATGCTCACTTGTTGATAGATGTTTTCTCCGGAGTTTATGTGAGTCTCTTCCTACGTTTTAGACATGTCTTGCAACTGAGGGATTGTGTGATCAAGCTGCACACTTGGTGAGCCTAGTGGTGCTGGAGTTTCTCGGCAGAGTTGAGACCCACTGGGCAAACCCGACAACCTGGATGCTGAGAAGGATATTGAATTGTTCAACAATAATTGTTCCATATGGTTCCTTCGTTTTCTCATGGTGAAGTCAAAATTCATTTTCAGCGCTCAGGAATCCGCACTATTTGGAAGAGGTGCATTTGTCTCACAACGTCCTCACTGAAATCGGTGCTGTCTGATCCTCATCCAGTGCTGTAAGACACGTTGGATCCTTCAGGGTCAAATGTCTCCAAGGTCTCCATCATTCGCGCCGCTGAGCGCAATCGTGTGCGCGGCAATGAGCCGCTATGGCTGCGGTCGCTTTTTTCAACGACATGGGGCGGCATCGGGAAGTCCCAGGAAACATCACAAGTCCTTGGGGTTTCAAAAACCGTAAAAAGAATTTCACTTTCAAAATAGGGGGTCAACTAGGTATTTCTGCCGGGATTTTCCAAGCAAGGAGGATAAAAAGCATCGGAATATGTAAGAATGAGGGTGTTTTATGTGGTTTAACCATCCTGACATGGGGATCTTCTCTGCCCATTGGGGGTTTCTTCTCCTATGGGGATAGGATTTCTCTTAAAATGGGATCAAAAACCAGCACTTCATGTGGTAAACCATCATAAACCATCCACCAAGCCACTTTGGTGCCAGATCTTGGATGATTTTGGGTGATTCGCTGGGTCATTGCTCATTCTGCTCATTCTGTTGTGGCTGGAAGCTCACTGAGCCTCTAAGAAAGGCTTGAGCGCAACAACATCAAGAACGCTGGCGAGGCCTGTGTTTCAAGATGTTTCATGATTATTCTGCAATGACATCGAAAAAATATATATATATATATTGATCAGGTCAAGCCAGGAACATGTTTTTCATTTTTTGAACTTGCCTGTTAGAAGTTCCTTTTTATGGTCGCTCATTTTTTGGTTCCAGGTTCTCTCAGAATTGGAGAAAACCTCGCACATTTGCGGCTTTTATCCGAAGAAGGGGTGTCGAGCGCGCCATTGCCCTGGCAGGCAGCTTTGTTTGGAAATTGGCAGTGAAAAAACACACACACATACATACATACATATATATATATAGTTATATATATATAATATATATATATATATACACGTGTGTGCCTCTAGAAATGGGTATGCCATAATGTTGTTATTTTGATGAAGAGATGATGAATCATGTTTTTTTTGGGGCCTATTTTCAGCCAAGCTAAACACGCCCGCACCGTGTTTCATGCTCAAATTTCACCACGGCCTCAGCGTTGGCAGGAACATTATCCATCTTCCGTATTTCATCAACCAGTTGGACTCCAAATCCGTGGAGGTTGAACAGGAGCTGGGGTTCATCCAACGAAGCCACCATGGTTTGATCCTATTCCTACTGATCTTCGACATGGGGCTGACTTCGAAAGTCCGGTTCCTCGTAATTTCTGTCATCCCAAACTTGTTGCTCAAGCATCATGTTTGATTATCATGAGATCATATTGTCGGTTATACCATATATATATATATATATCCATGATGAACCACATCAACCATGAGTATATTAGCCATCTCATGGCTAACATATGATCCATGATTATCCAGGTTTATCCATTGTTCCCCATTGTTAACCATATTATTAGATCAGTACTATTCACTACTAACCATCATGGCTGATCATTGGTTCACTTTCCACTTTACTCCAGTGCAGGATCCCGCACTTGACCCCTTCGACATCAGCTTTCGTTTTAATTCATGGCGTCGACATAGCGAGCATGATGACCGAGGGGCTCCCGAGGGTACCTGGGCACCTGATAAAAGGATGTGAAAGATCGAAAGATTCACTTCTGTTTTGATGGCGGTATTCAACATTTGAAGTGGTTTCACAGTCTTTCTTCTTGCATTTGACCTGGATGCAACTCAGGGGACTTTGTATCTTGGTAGTCTGCCACTCTTCTTTTGCGATTTGAGCCGAGGCATCCATGATGATGACGGTGACGATGAGATGTATGCAGGGCACCCCGAGCATCGTTGGCATCGGCGAGCCGCGCGCGCAGCTCCTGAGCCACACCGCTTTCGGCAGTGTCCTGACGTGCGGGTGCCGCGTGTGCATGCACCAGAGTCTTGGCGAAGGGCGCCGAACGATCACGAGGGATACGAGGATGATGGATACGAGGGCGAAGAAGGCGAAGATGAAGAAAACGAAGGCGTTGAGGATGAAGCAACAAGGTATGGTCGCATGGCGTCTGGAGCGCACTGGAGTTCTCGTGAAGTACGGAGAGCGAGGTTGAACTGCGAAAGCGAATCGGAGGCTGGATGGGCATGAGAAACATGAGAAAACATGATTTCAGATGATGTTCATGATGTTCCAATAAAGTCCAACATGCATTCAAGATCGTACAAGTGATTTCAAAATTTCATGCTCGAACATAATTGGACTTGGTTCTAGCATCACCAACAACATCATAGTACATCATACTACATCCACAACAGTTTTCAAGTTGTAGCTGCCAGCCTCGCCTCGGCCAGGGCGAGAGCGATCTAAGACCAGAGGCAGCTGACTTTCAAGGCAGGAGCCGTGCGAGAAGAGCTTCTCCCAGCAACTGGGTGGCAATAGATTTTAGGTGACGAACTTGACGAGGTTGTTACTGGTTGGTGGTTTGGAATATTTTGTTTTTGATCCCCATTGACTTTTGCATCTTTTTCAGGGGGTGAAGAACCACCAACCAGTTGCTGTTGGGTGATTCAACAAACTATGACTATGACGATCACTATTGGCTATACATACGTATATATATATATATACACACACATAGTATTAATCCACCATGAACTATTATCAAGTATAGATGTTATTAATCAGCAGCTTGGCATGGCTGATCACAGGTCCGGAGAGAGAGCAGAGAGAGCGAAGCCGCAGCCGAGCGCTGCCGTTGGACCCAAGGGAGTTGTTGCTGTGGGAGGAGCACAGGGAGCAAGAGTTGGAGTCAAGATCCGGTGTGACGATGCAGATTGATATGCTTTACGGGTTTGTCTGGATGTAGGGTACCTCGCATTGGTTAAAAACTTCATTTTCTATATTGCCTTGCTAACTTCGATTCATCTGGTGGTGAATGCTCAAGCAAATGCATCCTTGGGTGGTTGAGTTAGGTAGGTTTCTCCTACTTTGGTCTAGTTCTCATTGGTTTGGAATCTGGTGTCCGGCCCATTAAATTGCAGTTCTAGCATCCCCTTGCTCCTATCCATTTTCTGCTCTGGCTTTGGATTTGGTGCCCTCTGTCCTTGGACTTTTGGCCTTCTTCCATCATCACTCGTCCAGCCCTCTTTCCTCTGCTGCTTCATCTCCTAGCCCCACCAACTCACGTCTGTCAGCCTATTTGGATGAGCGGGGGTGGCCGCTTAGAATCAGTGCTACGCCAGGCAATTCATACACTGAGGGTACCTGATTGGGATCTTCTTCCTGACTCTTTTGCGGCACCTGCTCCTGACCCATCTTCTATTCTCTCTGGTTCTCGAGTCTTTACTGCGTCCAGCTACTGCGAAGTGGCTCTTCTCTTCACTGCACCACCGAAGCAATGCTTTGATCTTTGACCTACGGTCTACGTCATTGTGCGTGGGCCTAGCATTCGTGCTCCTGTGCGGGTGTCATCTGCGGCAGCCTACTATCAGCTCCTGCCCGGATTCATTCAAAATCCCCTGTCACATTCCTTCCCTTCTGTTGCACAGGCAACTGTTTACAGCTTGGCCATTGGCATTAACCTTCCAAGTGAACAATGATGACCATGGCCCAGATACCGGCTTTGAAGATAGTGGAGCAAGGCATGGCGTTTCAGTATGTGTTGAAGGCCCCATCGGACCTTCCAGTTTTGCAAGATGCGAGGGAATGCATTGCGATCCCCATCATGAAGCGGAAGGAGGGGATCATGATAGTGGTGCCGCTGGGTTTTTTCCTGGAGGAGGCCCTGTTTCACTAGATCAATTACGTACCCTGGAGCAGTGGGTGATTAGATCAGACCTGGGTTTCATTTATTTGCATGTGTATCCCTTTTTTGTTTTTTCACATATTTCCTTTTGTTTGTTTTTTGTTTGTGTGTTTTGTTGTTTTTTTTTGTTTTTTCCTGTTTATTTTTCATTTTTTTTGTTTCTTTGGTTTTGTTTTGGTTTATCATCTGCTATACTGCTACACGAACTCTTTCTTGCCTTCAAAAAATAAATCAAAAACAGCTGGCTACAGCAGACACAGGAGACAAAGCATCGTGCCCAGGCCGAACGGCCATCACAAACCCTCACGTCAGGTGCACAAATCAATTTGATGCCATGCTTGCAAATGATCACTTAAATGCTTCAGCAGCTGACAACCTTGACTTGGGATCAGGCACAGTTGTGCCAGTGGACCTAGGAAAAAAAACAGGTTGTCAGTGGCTTCATTTAAAAAAAACATGGTTTTGGAAAAACAATTGCAGCTGCTACAACCTGGTCCTCATCCGATTCCCCGGCATGTTGTGACATCGTTTGTGGCATCATCATTCCGCCCATCATTCCTGGCATCATGCCACTCATCATTCCAGGCATCATGTGAGGCATCATCATCATCATCATCATCATCATCATCGGCGGGTTCGCTCCACTTGCCGGCTTATTGGCTCTCAGTCATAGCACACAAAAAGCCACATGCAACTACGCTTACTTACACAAGTGAGACAGGGGAGAGGACAAACGACTGCATCCACAGGCTCATACATTCCACACAACATGCATCAAGTCTTCAAGGTTTTGAGATTTTTAAAGATTTTTTGAGATGTTTTGAGGCCTTCTGAAGTTCATGAACAATAGTGAATTTAAAGGCTCGAGATTTTTCGAGTTTTTTTTGGGGTCGTAATCTATTGTTTCCTTTATACAGCTCGAGATATTTGGAGATTTTTTGAGATCTTTTGAGATTTTTTGAGTTTTGTCTTATTCTGTCCGTTCTTCTTTGCAATAACCCTTGCGCATGTCCCAGCATTCACTTGCACTGGCATGCGCTGGCCTTTTTTTCCTTTTTCCAATCCTCTGCCCCTGTGTTGATCGATCTACTTGACACAGCGACATATGACAGACATTCATCAACATATCAAATGGTTTCTCTGTATTTCATGTCACATTCAGGACATGCAAATTCACACATGGGCATGTGAAACCAAATAGGTCCAAATTGTTTTTTTCTGGAAAAAGTTAGTTAGTCACTAGCTCATCAACCACAACCCATACTGGAAAACCAATCAAACTTACTTAACTTGTGCAAAAAGCGGGGTTGAAATGATCAGGGTTAAACTGTTTCAAACCCATTGAGCTTTCACAAAGGGAAATCATTGAATTTTAAATATATTATCATTTCAATCCCCCTACTTGCATAAGTACAATCAAATTGTGACCAAACGGTTTTCACGAGTTCTTCCGTTTGAAAACGTAACCTCCTGCATATTTGTTCATGCTTTTCATTTTCCATGTTTTTGCATTGTTTTGCATTTTAAATCTCAAAATATCTCAAAACATATTTTTTCTATACCATGGAAACCTTACCGATCCAAACCCTCACCGATCCATAGTACAAAATTGTCTTAATGACTGTTGACATTTTGCCTTGGCTAAGACTTTTCGACCCTGTCACAGAAGGAGATGGGATCCTGTGTTTCTTTGCCGAGTCTCCCGAGACCTATCCTGCCCGACAGAGTCTTTTGGAAGCTGCAATGAATTGGGTCAGGACGGCAGGCGAGGACCGGGTTGGATTTTACACAGTGGAGGAGGAGCTGGCAGCTGCGAGGGCCCCGCCAAAGGTATCTTCTCCTGCGCGAAACAAGCTGGCGAAGAAAGTCACGAATGCAGTTTTGGCCGAACAGGTCACCGCTATAGTTGAGACTTTGCCTGCGGTGTTCGAGCAGGTCTTTACCCTTCAGGCCAGCCAAGAAGCTGGAAGCATGATGAGTTCATCCAACATGCGGCCAAAGGTGCTGCGTTACAGGCAAAGATTGCTGTGCCTCCTCGAGCATCCCTGCCGGCGGCATCCAAGTTTCTTCAAGCCGTAGGCCCTCCACCAAAAGCTAAGGTTCGTGGAGGTGTTCAGATGCAAGACCAGGGCATAGAAGAAAATATATCAGGCGAGGAGCCTTACGTTTTTTGTTGCGAAGAAGGGTTCCATGATCAGTTGAATGCCGCTTTGCAGGACAGCCTGGCGAGGGCAGTGTTCAACAACTTGTGCTGCGCCAATCCTAGGCCCTGGCTGCTTTGGTCGCTATGTTGCTTCGTGAATCGGCCACAAACATTTCTTTGAAAGTTCTGACAGACATTGCGGCACGGAAGGGCAACTTCATGCTCAAGGTCTAGATGACTCTGGAGGATTTCCAGGGACTTCCGATACAAGGAGACCAGCATTGCGCGATGGAGATGATGGCTCATACTATGACGGCTGTGGAACAGTCGGCGCAGGACGTAGAAAATGGGAGGATGGCTGTTGTCTCTGCAGGAAAATCCCCGACCAGGGGTATATATGACTGCTGCTGTTGCGAACCTGAGCTACCATATGGACGTCGGTCAGCATGCAATGCAGCAGGCTCAAAGGCGTGAATGGAAATGTCGCCCAGGGGGCTGCGGCGCGTTGCCCAGCTTTTGGCCTTCCTGCCACAGGCGTTGTCTTTTATCGGGCAGAACTGGCAGGATCGGCGTCTTCCCTTGTGTTGTTCCTCCAGGTGGCAGGGATGCACCACTTCGTGTTTCCTGTGGTAAGCAGATGAGTTGCCACAAGCAAGCAGCTGTTGTGTCATCTGCCGCGTTTTTGCTTCTGGAGGTGAACCGAACAGAAGGATCTATGTGCAGCCTGAGTGGTTTCGACAATATTCGGGTCAATAAAGAATGCATGGTATTCGTTGAAAGCCGTTGCAAAGTTTTTTTAGCCGGCACTTTGTAGCCCATGTGCGAAATACCAACTATATCCGTATATTCAGATCCAGTTCAACCTCAAAGGTCGAAAACCGATAATTCCATTTGCTTACGAAGGAAGGCGGGTGGTGGTGGTGGTGGCGGGGGGAGAGAAAACCAACAGGTGCTACCAAACAAAGCAGCCACGGAAACCGCCTGGGTTTGGGTTTCTATTTCCACCTACAATATAGCAATCTGAACTTTGAGGTACGCTAGTTTTGGACAAACATACATATACAAAATGCTTTTATATGTATATCCATATCACACATGATTAAACTATATATCTAAGACTACATTACGTGTATGGATAGAAATTGCCTGTTGAAACTTGCGATCCCCGATCGCAGGAGCAGCTCATGGCTCGGCAACGTCGACTGGACGAGATGGAACGTCAGTACCGCGGGCGAGGTCGACAGCGAAATGATTTGACGGCTTATTGACGCATTCAAACATGGTTTTTTCATGGTTTGCATACAAATCTATATTGTTTTTTGGGAAATGATATAGATAGTACTGTGCGTGTATATTAGTCAGGGAAAAACGTATTTTCCTTCTGCAAAGTGAAGTTGGGAGAATCTTGGCAAGAACATGCCCCTTCTGCGGTCCAACAAGCAAGTAGGCCCTAAAATTTGGAACAACCATTAGATAGAACAACCCGCAGATTGATGCAATTCTAGATTCCTAATTTTTTCCTATTTGCACAAGGCATTTGTTTCTAGACAAGTTCGATTGCGATGATTTTGTCCTACTCTCAACCTCAATTTTTTTTTGCATACAACCCATAAAATGGCACCCGTCCCGTTTTGCAACGCGCGCAAAGTGCAGGTCGAAAACACAAACGCAAAAGGTTGGCTGTGCCGTAGAGGCGCCCGGGGAGTCGAAATCTCAAGCGGTCGAGGCCAGTGGCCCGATGCAAGAACTGGCATGGATAGAAACCTGTAGCATATGTATAATAGTATATATTACTGCATAATATATACTTCTATACATATGTAGAGATGATTTTGTACATGGTTACGGTTTGTCCGAAATACTTCGTAACCATTCTTTGAACGAAGATTCTCAATGCCCAAACCGACAGCTAGTCGACCCGACCCCCAAATCATTTTGTGCTCATCAACGTCAGGTGATCACGTCTCGTGGATCTGAAGTGCCGATTTGGTGTGCGCGGAAAAAGAAACAGTGACAGCTTAGTGCACATGCAGTTTGGTGCTGTGAGTTGCAGGAAATCCTCAGTGAATGATACGATCAGAAGTATCAACGGTGGTTAACAGTTTCACCATGATTTCTGTCATGGATCCAAATGGATGGAAATAGATGAACATGGTGTAGACATTTTAAACCAGTGTAACCCATTTAAACCCATTGGGAATGGATTGGGAAACCTGTGTAACCCATTTTAACCCATAGAAATCCACCCAGTTTCCAAGGCTTTCCAGGCCGCGGTGCAGACATTTGCAGCACGACCACCACCTCTGCCACCTCTGCCAGCCCAATGGCTGCCGTGCCTCTGGATGAGGTGATGAAAACCAGTGGATGGAATGGGATATCCCCAGTTTTCAGGTACCAAAGCCCATTTGATGCTTGTGATTTGAGAATTTCACCAGCCATAGTTTTTAAAAATACTTTTTGGGTTGAAAATCTTGACAACTATTATTCACAATCTATTTGGGATTTAAGCATCCATACTTTTCTGATAATTACTGTACCACTTTTGGATGTTTTTATTTTTTCACGAGTAGTTTTATGGTATTTGTATAAAAGTGAGTTGATCATTCTTGTGGATTGATGATTTTTGTCTGGCAAGTACCGTTACCATCCATTTTGGATGTTTTCTTTCATTATTTTTTAACGCAACTGATGAATATAGATTTTGAGGATTTCACATACCAATACTCAGATCATCATTGGTCATATCCCCATGATATCCCCATTATGACCCAGGTTCAATGGATATCATGGGGACATATTTGAGAGATCATCAATTTTTGTGGACGGATTTTTCTAATCAAGTCAGCCAGTTACTATCCAGTCACGTAACCTCTGATCGCAACCATCAGCTCTGTCAGCTCACCTCGTTGATTCATCGCCTGCGTGATGAAGCCCCTGCAGAGGCGCCGGGCGCTGGGGGAAGGTTGCTGGCCAGGGTGATCCCCTCATTTTTTCTGTGGGATTTTTGGGAGGTTTGCTTCTGTGTTTATCTTTGGCTGAAGACATTTTTTATCCCATAGAATCTATGCCCAGGCCATTGAGTCCATGGAGATATCCCTGGCGCGACTTCGGAAGGAGCAGGTGGTCCGATGGTGAAAAACCAAAACCAATGGTAGATGGCTATGGGTCAGGAATCATTTTTGATTCATTTTTTTTGGGTTGATAATTCTTGGAGCTATTCTTGATGGTGGTAGAGTGAACATATTCCCAGGATGGCTGATTTCAAGTTTGTGGAATATGATGATTTTCACAGCCACGCTTGTTGTAGGAATTCCCAGACCTTAAATTTTGGATGATGTTCCAACAACCTTTGCTCTGGTTGATCAACAAGACTGTTTGTTGTTCGGAGCTGCAAACAGGTTGAACGCGCTGCCTTGATGAAACGTAGCTGGAGCGACACCGCCTTTGAGGAGGGCGAGGCGTGGCAGTGCTGGGTGTCTCCATGACGACTGTGTGAGTGTGGCTCTGTAGGCTGGCAACGACCGAATCTTGGAGCAGTCTGATCCTTGGGATATCTTGGGATGCTGAAGCTGCATCCGATAAACAAAACCAGTGGTTCCCTGACCAACAAATTCAACAACCTTGTAGCTTCGATGCCCCGAGCGTCCCATACTTGTTGCAAGAGGCTAACAACAAAATGTTCGGATCAGGATGCTTTGGGTCACTTGGACGGTCGCAATTTTGTTTTGCGCACAGGTTATATAATTCCGGCACACTACCGTCACTAGTGTGACTTGCGCTTAAAGTGGGGAGTTTAAGAGTTGATATTGGCTTCTCTTATCATTATTATGACTATGATCATTGTGACTATCACCATCATGATTTGTTGTTATATTAGTATTCGGATTAGTTTTAGCAAGGGTATTCATATCGGTATTAGCACTATTTCTATCATTACTATACATCATTAGCATCATTACCATCCTTACCATCATCAGCACCACCACCACCATCATCATCATCACCATCATCATCACCATCACTATCATCACCATCATCACTATCATCACCATCATCATCATCATCACCATCATCATCACCATCATCATCATCATCACCATCATCATCATCACCATCATCATCATCATCATCATCATCACTATCATCATCACCATCACTATCATCACCATCATCACCATCATCACTATAATCACCATCATCACCATCATCATCATCATCATCACCATCATCATCACCATCATCACCATCACCACCATCATCACCATCATCATCACCATCATCATCATCATCACCATCATCACCATCATCACCATCACCATCATCATCACCATCATCATCATCATCACCATCACCATCACCATCATCATCATCATCATCACCACCATCATCATCACCATCATCACCATCACCACCATCATCACCATCATCATCACCATCATCATCATCACCATCACTATCATCACCATCATCACTATCATCACCATCATCATCATCATCACCATCATCATCACCATCATCATCATCACCATCACCATCATCATCACCATCATCATCATCATCACCATCGTCATCACCATCATCACCATCATCATCACCATCATCATCGCCATCATCATCATCATCATCACCACCATCATCATCATCACCATCATCATCAGCACCACCATCATCATCACCATCATCATCATCATCACCATCATCACCATCATCATCATCATCACCATCATCATCATCACCATCATCACCATCACCATCATCATCATCACCATCATCATCATCACCATCATCATCACCATCACTATCATCATCATCATCACCATCATCATCATCATTACCATCATGAATCATCATCATCATCATCATTACCATCATGAATCATCATCATCATCATCACCATCATCACCATCATCATCACCATCATCACCATCACCATCATCATCACCATCATCATTACCATCATCACCATCATCATCATCATCACCATCATCATCATCACCATCATCACCATCATCATCACCATCATCACCATCCATCACCATCATCATCACCATCATCATCATCACCATCATCATCATCATCATCACTATCATCATCATCATCATCACCATCATCATCATCATCATCACCATCATCACCATCATCACCATCACCATCATCATCACCATCATCATTACCATCATCACCATCATCACCATCATCACCATCATCATCATCATCACCATCATCACCATCATCATCACCATCATCACCATCACCATCATCATCACCATCATCATTACCATCATCACCATCATCATCATCATCACCATCATCATCATCACCATCATCACCATCATCATCACCATCATCACCATCACCATCACCATAATCATCACCATCATCATCACCATCATCACCATCATCATCATCATAATCATCACCATCATTTCAATGCATCACGCTCATCATCCCATCATCATCATCATCACCATCATCAACATCATCATCATCATCAACATCATCATCATCACCATCATCAACATCATCCTCATCATCATCTCCATCATCACCTTCTTCTTTTTTCCTTATTCTTCTTCATCAGCATCGCCATCGCCAGCATCATTATTATCATCATCATCACCATCACCAACATCATCACCATCATCATCATCATCATCACCATCATCATCATCATCATCATCATCATCACCTCCATCATCATCAACACCCTCATCACCACCACCACCACCATCATCATCATCATCATCATCATCATTACCATCATCATCACCATCATCATCATCATCATCAACAACAGCAAACAACAACACCATCCTCATCAACATTAACATCATCATCAGCATCACTATCATCATCATCATCATCATCAATCATCACCATCCCATCACCATCATCATCTCATCAAATCACCATCATCACCTCATCATCATCATCACCATCATCATTAACCATCATCACCATCATTACACACCATCATCACCATCATTTAACCATCACCATCACACCATCACACCATCACACCATATCACCACCACACCATCACCACCACACCATCACCACCACACCATCACCATCACCACATCACCGTCACCACATCACCATCACCACATCACCACATCACCACATCACCACATCACCATCACCACATCACCACATCTCACCATCACCATCTCACCATCTCACCATCTCACCACCTCACCACCTCACCACCTCACCATCTCACCATCTCACCATCTCACCATCTCACCATCTCACCATCACCACATCACCACATCACCATCACCACATCACTATCATCATTACCCGCAAATCATTACCATCATCACCATCATTTACCATCCCATCCACACACCATCATTACCATCACCAATCATCAACCATCATCAATCACATCAACCATCATCATCAATCATCATCATCATATCACCATCACCATCATCATCCCACCATCACCATTCATTCATCAATCATCATCACCATCACCATCATCATCACCGATCACCATAATCATCAATCACATCATCACCATCATCATCCTCATCACAGCACCATCATCATCACCATCACCATCATCCTCCTCACCATATCATCATCACACCATCATCATCACCATCACTATCATCATCATCATCATCACCATCATCATCATCATCACCATCATCATCATCACCATCACCATCATCATCACCAT